CGTAGAACACGCTGCGGCTAGACGGTTACGCGAGTGATCAGTGCAGTGAAACCTAGTGACTGAGGACCAAGTGCAAAGCATCCCTCGACCCGGTTTGACCCCGCGGCGAGCTGGATTACGCAGCCTCACACAGCAAACCCCACTTCACCTCCGCAACCCCCGGCCAACGTGTGATAGTTCGTACATTTGCCCTTGTTTTTTTACAGTGTTGTAAATACAATAAAGTCTTTTTTCTTAACGTTTTTTTTATTTTTGACACATATTCCTGAAAAATGAGCTAAAAACAATACCCAAAATAAAGCACATTTCAAAATTGTTTTTCCTGCAATTGGGACTCTTGACAATCACGTCAGGCTGCAGGCATAGTATTTCAATCTGTGGAGGAACTATAAATGGACACGGAGAAGAAGAAGCTACAATTGCACTGATGTCACTTTGAAGCTGGTACCTAAACGGAATTTTTAAGTTGTATAAAAACAGTCTTAATGTTGTCATACAACAAAATGTGCCACAAGAGTAAAACCGATTTAGCCCTGGTTAAGAAGCAACTTTGCTCTAAATCTGACCATGTTTAGGGCCAGGGACTAATGTGGTACACCAAACAACTTGTGATGCAGTAGCAAAAGTGCTTGATTTCCCCTGGGACTTCAGGTCTGGGGACCAAAGTTCTGGTTCCAGCGACTAAATTTTTTTTCTCAGTGTAACGTCCTGAACGGTCATCAGCAGAAAATTCTTGAAACTAAACCACACTCTTTTCCGTCCAACTGGCTCGTTCCCTGCGCAAGGCTGCACCATTTGGAATGGTTTACTTGCAAGGCTAGTGCATGGAACTCGTTATGCTGGTTGTCAGATTCAGAGTAATTTGGGAATTCTTCCAAAAATATTCCATCAATGACAGAAGGAAAAATTTTAGTTTTACCTTAAGGTCCCTTCGAAATAATGCAGTTCTACTGTTCTATACTGTTCTACAGTTCTATACTAAATTGTATACGAAGAAGCCTCTGGCGAAGATTTTAGCCAGAGCACTTTCGTGAATTCACGAACGTATCAATTGATTGTCGAGTGCGACAGATGCCGGACACCAACACAACGGCCACCGCCCGACGGCACCACACTGTGCTGTCCCTGCTACCGACGACAGCGAGCCATGAACAACAGGGACAGCAACAGCAAGCGCAGTGAGTCCAACAGTGCACCAAAGGGAGGCAGCGACGCTGACCCTCCGGCCGGGGCAGGCTCCACTGCTCGGTCAGCCAAGGTACCTCGGACGAACGTGTGCTACTACGCATTGTCACCGAGGTTGGGCCCAAGGGGTACCCGGAGGTCAGAATTCTAGCACCGGCGGACTCATGGGGGGGGGGGGGCAACGGGAGCGGCCATGCCACAACGGCGCTTCTGTGGACCTGGTGCGCGTCGGTCCAGCACGGGCCGACGCCGCCCCCAGCACTACACTCTAAATGTAGGCACTACAAATCCAAAGGTCAGACTTTACGCCTCTGGAGAGGCGAGACAAAAAGTCTCGCCACATTTTGGCGATGAGCAGGTTTATTTAAGAAAAGCAGGACCTTACAACGACCCCCTTGGATTTCGCTGATTTTTTGGTGGTTAGTAGTCCCCCATGGTGGGAGTTCATGGCCAAAATTTCAGACCTCAAAAAAAAAATTTCTGGGAGTTATGGGGATTTTAAGTTTTTTTGGGTATTTTTACACTAATTTTGGGTATTTTTTATATCTCAGGGACTTTTTGTCCGATTGGTTTCAGATTCGGGTTCTAGCTTCAAAATTGAACGGGGAACACGATCGTGCCGTCAGATTTGACCTAAAATAATTTTTTCATGGAGAAAACTCACTTTTTCTCAAAAAATTACATAAAAAGTCCCAAAATCTTGGGATTTTGAAGTTAAAAGTACCCGATCTTTTTGAAACTGGTCTTATCTTACGCAGAAAGGTCCGCTGAATCCAAAAATCACAACCCCAGATTTTTCCGACGAACCGTTCCGGAGATATTCCACTTCAAAGTCAGGCAATTTTTTTTTCGGCCTAAAAGTTGTATGATTTTGCTGGGCTTTTCATTCTGAGGCATTGGGCGGTGAGTTCCAGTGACGCTGGCCTTGTTCGCCGGCTGGTGTTCCCCAGCGTGCCCTTTTAGCGCCTGCCGGGTAGGCCAAGCCGTACCGCAACACATGTGTGTCCGACTGGTGGCCTATCTCGCCCCTGACGCAAGCCGCTGCCGCCACACAGGAAGGCACTCCGCGCTCCGTGCGTTCGCTGGCTCAGCCGCTTCGCCGCCCTATAGTCCCACTCTAGGTCACTACGCCCTCGCTGTTTCCACTCCCCTCTGGTCCTTCGGCACCCAATCACTCCCCCTCACCCCTCCCTTCCCTACCCTCACCCAACCCACCCACACACCACCACCACCGGACCCTAATATCACACAGGGCTTCTTGTGCTAGGGTAAAGAAAATAAAACAAAAGTCTGTTTTTCTTAATTTTATAATTGTATTTCTTAAGTTTAAAACTACTTTTTGATTATTTTCAAAGACACCAGTCTATTAATTTCAGAGGCAGAAAAAGTACAATTTTCATTGGTTTCTATCAGTTGAGTGGTACACAGAATGTGAGGTATTGGCACTGTTGCTGTCTTCATTTCTGAAGGCCATCTGAAGGCCTTTGATGGTAGTCTTGGCATGAGCAGCGAAATATCCACTTCTTGTTCCTCATTGTATATGTCTGTTATCAGACCTACATACCGATTCCTTGTTCCTTGCAAGTCTGACAACAACATAGGCTCCAGTTGAAATGCACAGCTGCTCCTTTTCAACAACTGGCTTATACAATGGATGAATTATTGAAGGGTCTGACCACTGGTCATTTGCAACCCTCCAGCAGGCTAATCTGTTGTCTGCAAATAATTTTAAAAAATTAAAATTTAGGATAAATTATAAAATAAAATTGTGATACTGATGTAAATTAACTTACCTGTCTCCGGCTTGACAAAATGGAATGATCTTGTTCCTGGAACAGTTGACAAAGCCTCCATTTCCTCTTTCTGGGCTGCTCGAATGGGCTCCACATCCGCTTTTGCTACATACAGGAAGTCAAATGTGTCACTAAGTTCTTCTTTACAGAAGGCAAATAAATCATTTGAGTCGATTATTTGTTTGTCAAGGGGGCGCTGCAAGCTGGCTCTCCTTGCCTTCCGCTTCACTGTGCCACCATCTGCGTCACACTGTGACTTCCCATGGCTTGTAGCGAAGTAGGTGTGAGTAAGCTTGAAGCTGAACTTTTGCCCTAGAGCACATAGATTCTTGAAGTAGCCCTTGCTCTTGTACTGGCTGGCACAGCCATCTGTGACAAACTCCACTTCATTGACATGAGGAAACTTTTCTGTGATATAATTAAGAATGTCCTCTTGGAATTTGTATACCAAAGAGACATCATGCACCAGATCATCTGATATGAAAATTACACTCTTGTGTTTCAACTCATTGTTTTCATCCTTGTAGTAAATTACTGCTGGGTGAACAGTCGCCTGTTTTGGTGACCAATGATAGGACTGAACTGCACTTTGGATTAAGCAGTTATAATTCATACTAAAGTCCATGGCCACAGCGACTTTGTTGCGAGGAAGATTTTCTTTCAGCTTCTTGATGTAATCCCGCTGGTTTTGAGCAATAAAATCATGAGTGATCAAATCTGACAACTGTTTAGCTGCTATTTCAAGGAGCTCAGATCGAGTACAAACTTGGACCACCATTTCAGTACTGTCCGTAGACTTCCACTGTCTAAAAGTAACATTTTCTTCAAAGAACAAAGTTTCATCATCAACTTCATCTGCTTCACGGTTCTCTCTTATTTCCTTGCATAGAATGTCTTTAATTTGGTCAATTGATGGACATTTTTCACAAGCCTTCAGCATGCAGGCTCTGTCTTCTGTGTTACAAACACATAGTTTAATTAAGTCCCGATAATGCTTTGTTATATCAAGGGCATATAAAACTAGCTTGAAGTTCTGGTGGGTTTGACATATGCACTGCTCGTGTGTTCCAGCTGCACCAGCAAACACACACCATTTCGGTTTCAGTGCACAAAAAACTGAAATGCCTACCTTCAGATCTTTGTATTCTTCCTTAAAAGCTTGATGAAGTTCCCTTAGGTTTGAGAGAATGAGCCTTTTTTGCTCAAAGACCCCTTTAGAAACTTTGACACAGTCCCTTGTTCCAGGTAGGATTCTGCAATTGTCTTCTCGATTGTAAAACGCTTTTACTAGTGTCTTTGTTGATTCAGCAACTGTTGACTTTCTCGCAAATTTCACCATGGGTAGAATACCTTGTTCCATTTTTAGTCTGCGAGAACTTGACATGAGGGTTCGGCTCACATTGAATTCCAGTGATGCTTCATTTATAGACATGCTGAGAGGGATTAAAGATAACAACTGGTATTTCGGGTTTTTTGAAGCATTAGGCATTTTTTCCTTAATTTCAGTCATAAGAAGGTCATGGTCTCGAGCTTTCTGAGCATCAGTTGTTGTTACATCTCTTGGAGTCACACCATAAGCACGGCATATTTTCTTGCGCACAACACCTGTTGCTGCTTCAATCTTTCTCTTCGCAGCAGTGATTGCGCCCCCTTTACTTCTGATGGAGCTACTGGCTTCTACTGGCGCCAAACCTAATTTTTTGGAAACACGAGTTCCAGATTCTCTAAGGACTAAAGGGCTCAAATTGGGAGAGTTGGATGATCCACTGCCTTGACTTGCAGGGACTCTACCAACCTCTTGACTGTTTGGCTCACTTCTTTCAGCAACTAAATAATCACCCAAAAATTTCCGAAAAAAAATTTTGCCAATTCAAAATCTGGAACAAAAGAAACAAGCAAAAGTTAGAATAAAAGAAAACCCTTATCAAAATTACAAGAAACAGTCTGATTTTGAATTTAAATTACCATCAGATTTTTCCAAAGATTCGTCTGGGTCCACCTTTCTACACCTGTCACACCAAAATTGTCCAACTGTGAGAATTGGAACCCGTTCCACATCAACTTCTTTGATTTTCCGCAAAGCTTCACATTTTTTTTATGAAAAAAGAAAGACGCTTTGTTATAATCTGGGAGAGGCTTGGTTATGAAACATACCTTCATTGCTTTCAGGTTTTGGAATTACAGAGGAGCTTCTCGTTCTCTTCGGAATCTCAATGGAGCTGCAGTCTAATCCTGAAAGAGTTGCGTTTATGTACACATTCAATTTTATGTTAAACCGTATAGTGCAAGCAGAAAGTTACCTTTAATGAGACTTTCTGGTGTGCTTTCATCCTTACTGTGACTGGTACTGGGCCCCCCAATGTCTCCTATAAATTGTAAGTCAACATGAATCAACAGTTCAATTTATTATTTGGCTTCCTTTCTCACCATGAGTACTTTACCTGTGACTTTAACTGGCTTGTATTTCCTACAAGAGTCACACCACAAATGGCCAAGCACTAGTTTAGGATTGCTTTCCACATTCGCAGCTGTAATTTTCCTTAGGTTGTCACAAACTTGTTGATCGGGCTTATGTCTCTTATAAGGATTGGAGCAGACTGTTCACAAAGAGGCATCAGCTATTACATGACAATGTAGTTACAAAAAGTGACATAACAATATAAAATTTAAAATCGAACCTTCAACAGTTTCTTCTTTTTTGGAGTGGGTAGGTTGTTGATCTCCAGCAGGGTTTTTTTTGGAGTGGGTACGTTGTTGATATTCAGCAGAAGCTTTCTTGGAGTGGGTAGGTTGTTGATCTCCAGAAGGGGCTTTCCATTTCCGACAGTTGTCGCACCATAACAAACCAATGTAAAGTTGTGGATTCTTATGAACGTCAGCAGCACTAATTTTCCTCAGGTTTTTTGTAATGTTTTTCTTATGCAAATTGAAAGGGTTGCAGCAGATTTCCTCGTCAGAATCTGGAAATACGTTAGGTTAGGTTTACGGCCCCCAAAAGGGAGGGAAATGAAAATTAGTCAAAAAAAAAACACAGATCTCTCCTCAAATTAATCCCAAAACACACCTGAGTCCCCCATGCTGCGGATGACAACCACAGTCGTAAAGAACCGAGTGGTAAAAGAATCTCAGCTCCGCGAAGTCCTAGGCTAAGACAGCGACGCGTGCGACACAATGTAAACAAAGGGGGTACGGTACGGCTACCGGCAGAATGCAGGCAGGGGTTGATGATGGGAGAGGGAGGGGGGAGGGGGTGAAGAGAAGACCGGAAGGACCACGGGTAGTGGGGTCAGGGAGGGGGAAGCGGCTGGGCCAGCGAACGCACGGAGCGCGGAGTGCCTTTCTGTGTGGCGGCAGCGGCTTGCGTCAGGGGCGAGATAGGCCACCAGTCGGACACACATGTGTTGCGGTACGGCTTGGCCTACCCGGCAGGCGCTAAAAGGGCACGCTGGGGAACACCAGCCGGCGAACAAGGCCAGCGTCACTGGAACTCACCGCCCAATGCCTCAGAATGAAAAACCCAGCAAAATCATACAACTTTTAGGCCGAAAAAAAAATTGCCTGACTTTGAAGTGGAATATCTCCGGAACGGTTCGTCGGAAAAATCTGGGGTTGTGATTTTTGGATTCAGCGGACCTTTCTGCGTAAGATAAGACCAGTTTCAAAAAGATCGGGTACTTTTAACTGCAAAATCCCAAGATTTGGGACTTTTTATGTAATTTTTTGAGAAAAAGTGAGTTTTCTCCATGAAAAAATTATTTTAGGTCAAATCTGACGGCACGATCGTGTTCCCCGTTCAATTTTGAAGCTAGAACCCGAATCTGAAACCAATCGGACAAAAAGTCCCTGAGATATAAAAAATACCCAAAATTAGTGTAAAAATACCCAAAAAAACTTAAAATCCCCATAACTCCCAGAAAATTTTTTTTTGAGGTCTGAAATTTTGGCCATGAACTCCCACCATGGGGGACTACTAACCACCAAAAAATCAGCGAAATCCAAGGGGGTCGTTGTAAGGTCCTGCTTTTCTTAAATAAACCTGCTCGATACTTTCATGTCTCGCCACAATATGGTCAGATTCAAATGTCTCGCCAATTTATGGCGAGACTTTTTTGTCTCGCCAAAATATGACCCAAAATTATTGAATAGGGTAGGCAATGCATGGATTCATGGCAAAATAGATAAACTACTGCATTATTCACAAAATTCATAAGAAAACATTTCTGATCACCACTCATAGTTGTTTGACCCACTGGGGACACTCAAGAGTAACGCTGTTTGTTTCGCTCATAAACCAAGAGGTGCGTCTTCACATAACAGGGCCGCTCACATTCAGTTTCATTGAAATCAGATTGTACTCACAATAATCACAGTAGCACTGTGGCTATGAAGAAATTTGCAGGCAGGTTGAGAGTTGATTCATCCAATAAAGATTGTGTACAAACATGTAGCTGTGAGTACTGTACAACTTGGTCCAGAGCACAGATGGTGTAGACTGTTGATGAACTAAACATTTTGACAATTATCCTTTTCCACACGCAGTTTGACAATAGCTCGAACGATAAAAAGACTCTTCGCGAACAGATAACCCAGTTGGCAACAGTCGTCATCGCTCCAAACTAGAAAAAACTTAATTTTATTGATGCAAAGTCGGGAGGAAAACATGATAACCAGCGGCCATTTCCTCAGGTTACTTTTGTTTACGAGATGTGAGGATGTGACTGCGAATACTGGTTTGGTCATGCGTATAATTTCCCAACCCGAATCTGAATCTAAATCGTCACGCCCATAACTGCCCATAACCTCTTCTGTCCAAAAACAAAAACATAGCCTCTAAAATGGCTGCCAGCCTCTGAGCGATTGTTTGACTTGCAACGATATAATTTAGTTTTTCCTAGTTTCGAGCAATGACGACTGTTGCCAACTGGGTTATCTGTTTGCGAAGATGTCTTTTAATCGTTCGAGCTATTGTCAAACTGCGTGTGAAAAAGGAGAACTGTCAAAATGTTAAGTTCATCAACAGTCTGCACCATCTGTTCTCTGGGCTAAGTTGTACAGTACTCAAAGCTACATGTTTGTAGACAATCTTTATTGGATGAATCAACTCTCAACCTGCCTGCAAATTTCTTCATAGCCACAGTGCTACTGTGATTATTGTGAGTACAATCTGATTTCAATGAAACTGAATGTGAGCGGCCCTGTTATGTGAAGACGCACCTCTTGGTTTATGAGCGAAACAAACAGCGTTACTCTTGAGAGTCCCCTGGGTCAAACAACTATCAGTGGTGATCAGAAATGATTTCTCGTGAATTTTGTGAATAATGCAGTAGTTTATGTATTTTGCTATGAATCCATGCATTGCCTACCCTATTTAAATAATTTTGGGCCATATTTTGGCGAGACAAAAAAGTCTCGCCATAAATTGGCGAGACATTTGAATCTGACCATATTGTGGCGAGACATGAAAGTATCGCCAAAATGTGGCGAGACTTTTTGTCTCGCCACATTTTGGCGTAATGTCTTTCCATTCAGTTTGCAGTGGGGTGCCCAGCAACTGGGCGCCTTTGTCGCCCGCCCCACTTTTTAGGGTGCCAAATGTCGCCCAGTTCCTGGGCACCTTTGTCACTCAGTCTCGGGGTGGACAAATCATTAAGAAACCTGCCTTCACCCATGGCTCAGCAGCAACTGAGGTGCCGAAGGTGCCCAGAATCTAGGCACCTTAGTCGCCCAGGATCTAGACACCTGAGCATGCTCTACCATGGGAGAGGGTCGGTTACTGTATGATTTGTCCACCCCGAGACTGGGTCACAAAGGTGCCCAGAAACTGGGCGACATTTGGCGCCCTAAAAAGTGGGGCGGGCGACAAAGGCACCCAGTTGCTGGGCACCCCATATTTTGAGTGTAGGCGCGTTAGTGGTCCCGATGTCGGGACCGTCCAATCCCTAGTCCAAATTTATTTATTTTTTAGTCATTGCTCACTATTGCTTTTCTATTATCCACGCTTCCAACCGCAATGTCTGTAACAACTTGATTTGTTGCTCGATGAGCTCTTGACCATAACCTAAGCATCCCCACAGTTGATCTGGTGCGGACTCGCGCCGCGCAGGTGATGAATGCAATTTAGAGCATTCGCACTTCCTGCATGAAACCGGTTCATTGCCTTTAATCGCCGCTTTCAGTCATGTCCCGCTACCGCCTCCTGAATCCGCACGATCCCGGGTTCGTCACCCTATTAATGATTTGCTTTGCTGCTACTGCGATCGTGGCATTCCCTCCCACGCACGCATTTGCAGCCATGTAACGCTGTTATTTGACACACTTCTGAAGCGAGAGCCTTTTCGCCTTCGTGCCATGGCCTACACTGCATGTCATGTCGTTTCCAGTCATCTAGTGGATCAAATTTGGCTGAAATTTTGTCTTGTTTGATGCTTTGATTGTGACTCCAACAAGCCTTCGCACCAGCAGTGGTACAAGCTCATAGATATTATAATGTCTGATGAAGACTTGCAAACGGGCGGCTCTGTACACCCCAAGAGGAAAGCCCATGTTGAAAAAAAAGGGGGAGAAAATCACACCCTCACGGGGGTTAAAAACACACCCTTCTCGGGGCACACTGGCACCAAAAGGGTGGCAAAATAAGCACCCGGAAAAGGAAACGTGCTACACCCATGCCCGGGTCGAGAACGCACCCCGATAGGTGTACGACTACGCCCTCGTGGGGGTACAAAGTACACCGTGAAACAGAGTACACGTGCGCCTTTTGAATGGGTGATTGTTCACCTCATTCCGGTCATAAATCGCACCCCTAGGGGATGACAAACTCAACCGCCAGGCGGGAGAGGATTGCACCCTTAGCCCATTAAAGACGCACCATAACAGTGTCCTAAATCACACCCCTCGAGGGTCACAGGACACACGTTATTCGGAGCGAACAATGACTCGAGAAACACACCTGCTGGGGTGCATAGGGTGCCCTTGGTCAGGGGCAAAAACATGCCCTTACATGGTATCAAACCACTTCTTTTGCCACCTTCTTTTGCACCTTTTGAAGGTCAGAATGTGACTTTACACCCTCGATTGTGGGTGTGAATCTCAGGTAGGGTGTCAAACGGTGGTACACCACGAAGGTGATACAAAATGACCCCTCCTAGGTTACAGTGTTAAAGCCCTGGAAGATGCCGGCTTCAAACGGATTTACTGCATTGCACACGCACTGAACGCTAATAAGAAACACCCTTGAGGCAGTGCCGAGAGCGCGTGAAGTGGTGCAGTGCAGCAATAAGTGGATTGAGGAAGTTCGCAAGCTGTTGCCCAAGAAATATGACAGTATCAGGGAGCAGCTTCGACTGTCCAACCCGACATCGCAGTCACATGTCCCAACGCTGCAGGCTGTTCTTCGCCTCCGAGAGAAGGTACGGTATCCTGCTTTGCCAGCAGCATATTTTTGTGCGCCGCGGTTTCTTTGAAAATTTTACTAATTTTGACGTTTTGATTCTACTCAGGTCGAGAAAGTGCTGCAGTGTAAGGGTGGCACCAAGTCACTAGATGGTATACACTCCACTGAAATCCAGGAGCTCATTGAATTTTTAGAGCCTTTAGACTGTGCTGCTGGGCGCGAGAAGAGCTCCAACGTCACCTCGGGTAGAGTTGCCGCTCTGAAAGAACACCTCCAGCCGGCTGACGCTGATGGCCTCTGTTTGTTAGAAATGAGTGAGCTGAAACGTCATGCCATGTCAGAGGTCATAGTAATGGAGGCAGTATCGACAATTGAGAGCTGCAAAGCAGTTGTTGGGTACTTAAAAAGAGCAGGCCTCAACAAACTATTAGAAACCAGTACCAAGCAAGAGGTGGAGACCAGGTGGAGCTCCCAGTTGACCATGCTACATTCCATCAACAATGGGACAAGGTTCGTTTTCAATGTTTAAAAGAAAAGCGCGTGTCCTTTCCAATTGAAAACATGCATTGTCAAGTACTGCTTTTGTTTCAGGTTGAGAGCGGGCCCTATGAACAAAGACCGATGTCCTTTAGATCGCTCGAACAAAGTCCGATCTCCTTTGGGTCGCTCGAACAAAGACCGAACTCCATTTCCTAACCTCTCAATGCGTTCAGTTTGAAGTCCCAGAACAATCTCTACGTTTTGATTCCACACAAATGAGTTTTTGGCTGAGCGATAGCGAAGCCCGTTACTCCAGTGCGGTTGAAAAGTTTTGTCTGTCTGTCTGTCTG